GTGTGTTCCTTGTAAAAACAAGAGATTTTATGCATGAAATTTGTGCCAAATGCAGAGAATTGTGTGTTGTGTTTTGAAAAAAGTGTGTTTTAAACCTGCAGTTTGAGTGTAAAGCAGGAATTGTGCTTGTAGTTTAGCAGAATTGGTTCAGGGGGTTAGTACAGGGGGTGAAGTACAGGTAATTGTGTGTAAAAAAAAACTGTAAGTGAGTCAATGTTCATTTACAGTTTTTTTTTTTTTTTTTTGATTGCTCAAGCACAATTTTGAAATGAAGGCTCATTTTGTCAAAACACTACACACAATTTCCACACACACACACACAAACAGCAGAACACATCAGAACTTTTGCAAAATGAAACACTTCATCCAAAACTTTACAACACTGTAACAAAACACAATTTTAACACCGTACAGAACACACACGCCTCATTCAAGATGAATCTGTTTGCTTCATTTACACACTGCTGATCTCAATCTTAAACACTCGTATAATTTCTACCTGACTAATACTGATATAATCTGGGTTTGATTTGTTTCAGAGGTATTGCTATAAAGTGCATGAACATACTGTATTCACCAAACAGTGATAGACTGAAAGCTAAATATTGCCCTATCCTAATAAAAACCATACAACAAATGTAAAGTGTTTTATTCAGCTTTCTGGTGATGTGTACATTTCAATATATAAAAAAAATCCCATGCCCTGTCTCCTGTTTACCAATCTTCCTCCCTTCCGTGCTTCCTCTTCCATACTGCAACATTGCTGTCCATATTTATTGAAGATTATTTATTTATAACTTCTGTTAAACAAATTTATTGAAGACTAATATTTACAACTATACTACTGTTAACAAATGTATTGTAGATCAATATAATAGCCTAGTTTATACCTAATACCCAGTTACAGTTTTTCATGATTGCTAACACACTAAAATTAAACTTTTCCTACAATTAGCAAAACCGTACAATCATGGAGCAAAACACAAGGCTAGATCTGCACAACTGTAGGCACATGGCTTCATAATGTTAGAAAAACATTACACACAGTCATTTGCAAATCACTAAACACACTTGGATGCTTTTGACACAGACATTTTTCATAATGGAATTTCCTTGCAATTTCAAAGCAAAGGCTTTCATATGAGCACACATATGAACTATAGGTCAAACACAGCCATCAGGTGTGCACACACACTGCTGCAAACTGTAGACACACACCAATCAGCTGTAACCACAATAAAAGAAGCAATATAGGAATAACCATATATGGCATACCAAAATGTTTAAATCATTTGTATAAATATTTACCATTTGAAATAAACAACTATAAATAAGAAAGTTAAAAATCACTTAATTGCAAATGAAACATAACTGTGGATAAGCGAAAACACTGATAGAGAATGAATAGGTGTAATAAAGCAGAAATGAGAGCAATGTGCTGCAAACCCTTGAAGCAAGACGCAGACGTGACGCAGACGTCACGTTAAAGCAGCGGAACAGTAATGTGGCAGACGCAGACGACACGTTCGGCAGACGCAGACGACACGTTCGGCAGACGCAGACGTCACGTTCGGCAGACGCAGACGTCACGTTCAGTGAGACGAGTGCACGTTGCAGCGTCAAGTTATTGACCCATTCCGCACGCCATAACTGACTGCTTCATCTTCATCACTGCACGCCTGAAACGCGTCTGTTGCACGAGAGGGGCGAGGTGCGCATGCGCAGAGCTGATGACGCGTTTGAGGGCGGGGCTCACCTGTGAGTGTGTGTGAGAGAGACCCGGCCGACACGCGCAGCTCCGAGGAGTCCGTAAGGTGAGGCT